GATACAAAACACAGCCCGATCCTACTTACCCTTCCGATTGGCCTCAGCACCCCAGATAGCTATTAATTCTGGATTTACGTCTACACCCACTTCCACTTTTTGGCCACTAGCATCTTGCCACGGCACGAAAAACACTGCTTCCGGCGCCACCAAGTATTGCATTCAATATTGAACACGGTAACGGTCGCAAGTCTTCCCGATTCTGTTAGTTCAACGCCCCGTTTGTACTTTCTGCGGTTCAAAAAGATCAAGCCCTGGATAATTCCAGACCAAGGAATGGCGAGCCCATCTGCAAGGCGACTCAGATCAAGTGATACTCGGCCAGCGCGACAACCAGACACTCCTTGCACTTTGGTAAAGTACCCGGAAAAGGAAAACTCCCTATCTGAGGCTCATCATTCTCCAAAAGCTGTCTTTCTCCCCCACATCAAACGCACTTTTCTAGTTGCTGTTGCTGTAGGCCAACTACCAAGTCCGACGGAATTTTAATCTTTAACGAGGATAGTGTGTCATTAGAGGTAAGTGTTATGCTTATACGTACATAGCCTTTCATTGACATCTCGTTTTATCCAGATTATCGAGCCATCTCCTCGAATTATCAGACTCACACGTCAGAAATCAGATTGCCTGCTCGTCTCACGCTACCAGCCAGCCATGTTCAACCTGACCTTCGACGAAGGCGCCTACGAAAGAGGCTTCACCCTCCTCTCCTCCTCAATGCGAGTCAATGGCCCCAGCTATCCAACCAGTGCCCAAGTATGCGAGCTCGCCGCCCTCGCCTGGTACGAAATGGGTGATAAACTCCGAACCGACGACAAGCATTCCATAACCAACCGGTCCAAACCACGAGCCCTAACCATCCTCCAATGGCGTGACCAACTACACGTCTCCTCTTCCGTCAAAGGCGGAGGGGATACCTCGTGGATCGACCAGACGCTGCCCACCAACGAGCCCTTCACCCTACTCCGCAAAGCCCTGCAGGAGAGCGGCATCGATCCGCCGGCGAGTCACCGCAACCAGGCTTCCTGTGGAGAGATGCTCGCGTTGCATCAGTGGGCTGTTAGGAGTTGTGCCGGGACGTTTCGCAACTTGGGTAGTGGCAGCGAGTATTTACTCGTTACGGTGGGCGAGGAAGGGAGGGGGCAGGAGAAGACGTTGACTGTCAAGCGGCCTTGTTATGGTCAGCCGAGGGGTGGGTGTGAACAGGTGCTAGCTCATCTAGGGCTATCGTTTCTATATGCTTGTGAAGAACCGAGTATACATCAGGAGACGCGGATGATTAACCTGGTAGATCATTCTCATTGGGGGATTTTTGGATGACTTTGGGAAAAGTGAAGAAACAAGAAAAAAGAGGTCGGTGACCGGACCGGGAGTCGTCTCTTTTACTTCTTCTTAATACTGTACGTGCAGCTGATACCGATAAGTAACATAAAAGTATTTTATAAATTATATTTCTAGAACTCTATTTTCTAGTTTCCGGATATATCTACTGAGTACTTATATCTAACCCTATCCTCTAATACTAATATACCTAGTTAGGTAGCGGTGTTGTTATTTTAGAAGTAGTTATTACTAGATTCTATTTTACTATCTAGATTACTCTATTAAACGACCAGACGGCAAACTAGCACCTGTTTTTAGCGAGTTATATATAAATATAGGAGTCATCGATATATACACAGAGTTTAACATGTTTACAAGTACTTGGCTCATTCTCTCAAAGTGCAGGTGCCACAAAGCAAAATAAGGGACGCCTAGTGGTGAATAGATCAACGAGAAATGTAACCCGATTGAGTACTTCAAGTTTTGTGCCAGACTTAACCAGATTGCGCCAGGCAAATAAAATATATTTATGGTGAATCCGTGACATGTCATCTGTAGCAATCCATTTCAATCCGAGGACCCTCTTCTGTGCGTCGTGGATTTTTGAAGCAGACTCAACCATCTCATCGTCAATATTCAAATCGTCTTGTGCGACTAATAAAATGGTGTGAGTCCTGTCATTAATGACCGCTTCGAAGCACTCTTGAGGAGATAGCATTTGGAGTCTTGTATTAAGAGTTCGAATGTCCTTTCGTGTGTACTTTCTTGCGATTTGTCCAATTTCGGATGGGTTTCTTGGATTGACCCTGACGGGCGTTTGGACTCTCCAAGAGCCTCTCTCACGAATAATGAAATTGATGATGACCTTTTCTTGCTCCCGCCTCTGCTCCTCCAATCTTTTCTGCGCTACTTGCTCTTGTTCCAGTCGTCCTTGCTCTCGTCTCTTCCGCCCCTTTTCCGCCCGTGCTAGCCTCTCTTGCTCTCGCTTTTTCCTATCCCGCCTCGCTCTCTCCCCCTCTCTTTCTTCCGTTTCTCGTGTCATTATATCTCTGTCCTCCTGTTCAATTATGCTTGGTGAGCTTTGTAATCGATAGTCGTGATCACGATGAGCATGAGAGGGAAAAAAGTTGTCAATTTCCTCGTCCATATGATCTGGACTTCCCTGAGATTCACCTCTATTAGGCCGTTGGGTGACGTTGGACTCGACAGAACTAGATGCGAAGAGCTGTCCCGACTTTTTCGCGGGAGAATTCGTTGGCGGGCGATTTGTCGTACCGCCATTGGTGCCGGCTGGTCTACCAAAGAATGCAAGGTAAACAGACTTCCGGACGAAAAACGATGTAATGCCCTCACCTTGATGTTGGTCTTTGTCATGAAGATGGTTGATGTACAAAGAGTCCCGATCTTCTTCATATGCTCCACGACGTGGAATCCCAGATCTTTTGAGACATTGCCACGCCAGGTCCAGACGTGACAAGAAGAGGCTTCGACTGAGGCCTCCCCGGCTTACTCCTTGAGTCCGGATACTGCTTCATCAAATGGATCTGGGGAGAATCCTAGCTCGAACACAACATCGGCGAGCATGCGCAGTACAGCAGGATTTGCCGTCTTAGTCGCTTTCTGCACCGGGTCTTCCCTAATGGGGTCCGCCGGCATATCTGGATACTCTCGCATCGCCAGGGAAATCAGCTGTCGGAAACCAAGGTCTAGGCAGTCCTCTGGGGTCCCTGCTTGGTATGTGAAGGAGTCTTCCGTGATTTGGATTTTGACGTGCCCTTCCTTCTGATTCTTACCGGAATATTTGTCCTGAACCATCTCGTGAACACTTCTCCGTTTGGGGACACTGGTCAGTCTCTTCAAGCAGTCGAGACAGAGCTTTAGATACTGAATGTCTCTGAAAAATGTGAAAAGAGATGGTATGAGACCATCGACCATTCGTAATCTTTCCCAAATCCTATGCGGTCATGATCGCTGAAAGCGCTGAAAATCTCCCCGCCTCGCAACTTATTGTGAAGAAATTTTGCATTTGCCGTCGATACTCCAGGTGCTCTCCCCTCCACGGCCTTGATCGTAGCTCTATCAATTTTACCTAGTGCACGTTGGTCTCCGTCCACTAGATCTAAGAGGATCTGCTTGATGCGGCCGAGATAATTCAAGACTTCCTATTGTGCGGTGAATTATGCACATGTCGTGACGGAGTGGCTTTGACTTACGTCTTTAGCGCCCGTCGCCATCATCTTTTGCAGCGTCGTCAACCTCATTCAACCCCAATGCCCGGAATATCCAACAGCGCGTCAAACCCATCGTCTTCCGCCTCCTTTGTAACATCGAGGTAATTACAGGTCGCGCTCGATGGTGCGGCCTCGTTGATTACCAGTATAGGGCTGTCTTGGTGTGTGAGGGTTGACTTTGGCAGGTCAGCAACGTGCTGGAGAGTTGCTCTGTTGACAGTGCCGCCGTAGTGGTCAGTGTGTCAAATGAATAGAGTAGAATAGAATAACGGCCGTTACTCTTATTTTATTCAAGCTCAAAACCCGTTACTCTTATTTTATTCATATATTATTCAAGTTATTCATGATTATTCATGAATAACTTGAATAACGCACGCACGTGATTGAGCTAGCCTAATAGGGTAAGGCTTTAGGGGGGCCGCACCTAGCGCCACCTCGCTACCTAATCAGGTGGTAGTAGCGCTTAGTAAGCGAATTAAACCTTAGCGATAATTAGTTTATTTATTATAGAAAATCTGTATTTAAGTAGCCTTATATAAGTATTAGCTTAGCTAATATAAGGCTAGTTAGTAAATACCTTAGTTCGTTTTTTTAAATTTAAATATATATTAATTTACTATAATTAATTAACTTCCACGTGACTTCCGCGTGGTTATTTATAGTTATTCATGTTATTCATGAATAATTATTCTATTTTACTCAAATTATTTAAGATATTCGTTACTCTTATTTTATTCAAGTTATTCATGAATAATTCATGAATAACTTGAATAACTTGAATAATCCTTTGACACACTGGTAGTGGTCGTGGTCTTGGTCCTTGGCGACACTACGACCAGGAATGTATGTAGTCCCAAAGCCAATGCCCTCACCAGCCACCGTTTCACTGCCTGCAATTTGTGGAGAAGAGGAATTGCTATGTGTTACGAGGTCGACTTTAAGAGTGGTATGCTTGGTTTCGAACTCGGCGTCCGCAAGGAAAAGAGAAAGAGGGTTTACTAAAATAGTATTCAAATTAGTAGTATTTTATATAGACCCTATATAAATACTTATAGTACGAAAGGGGGTCTGAAGATATCAAGGACACCCCCCTTGTTCTGCCACTGCTGAAAAAGGAAATTTATGGGGCTTCAGCCAGGATTTTATGCTTTTGATTGGTCTAAGTTTCTCACCGCCTTACAGGGGGGTGTCCTTGATATCTTCAGACCCCCTTTCGTACCCTAAATAGAGTTTGAGACAATCTTCTCGCGCCGGCAGTTTCCGGGGTGAAACAGTACCACGTGCCGATAAGCAGACGAGACCCGCCGAGTTTTTTGACTAAGATAGTATATGATAAAATAGGCGATTATTTTCCAACAAATCAAAAAAGAGACTTCTAAGTTTCCGACACAAGCAGTAAGTACTATCACTAACACCCACCGAATGGTTAGGAATTGACAATCATCTAGATGTGGCGCAGCGGAAGCGCGCCGGGCTCATATCTAACATGAGGTTACCCGGAGGTCCCTGGATCGAAACCAGGCATTGCTAAACTAAATTAATCAGTCTTCTTGACTAGATCTTTTTTGCTTCGCTTCTCGACCGACTAATCAATAACTAATGATTTAAATAAACTATTAATTATATTTTTTGCCTAGGATTTGTCTGTATTACTTATTACTCAAAGATAGACTAGGTAGGTAGCTAAGAAATAATAATAAACTTTTTAGTTTTTCTTTATATTATTTTGCGTAGAAACGAAGCTTTCCGGCGAGTCTGCCTCGACTCTGTCCCCACGGCCCCTTGAGTTTTGTGCTACAATGGGAGGCACGGGGAGGCCGTCGTAGCCGCACGGCCACGTCGTCTCTTCTCTAGACACATAAAAACCACTGCACCTTCTTTGGACGCCCCTCCTCAGACTCTCGTAACATTAATGCAATGACAAGTTCAGCAATATCGCCTATTTTTTCTCCAACTATTTTACGCAATTTGTGCGACGGGTCGTGCCGAGCATGAGCAGCTAATGCTCTTCCCCCCGAGAAAACTCGCAACAAGCACTGATACCTGAACAGCTTCCCATGCTCCTGAAGATCTCTTCAAGTTTGACAGCCTTTTGCGTGACCCGGATTGCCATTGTGTTAATAGCGAGTCCTGCTAGTTTCGCGGCTTCGAAGCCTTTTCCCGTCCGACCCGACTCGACTGCGGCACACACACACGACCTCACAATTCCCGATACCTCCGGATCCAGACAGTCCCACACAACATCTCAGAGGCAACTCGAAGAGCCTTTCGTTCCAGGCGTCTGGCGCCGTGCCCACAAATTTCCCGCGAGGTGTCCTGATAAGAAGATCTCGAATCGCAGACATTAAAATTACCAGCCAATTCCTTGCAGCAATCTTCGAAATACGTTGGCACACAACACTTGCATACCTTATCATAGATGTGCGGCCTCGAGGAATGCTTTCAATTAGTCTCACGCTGCCTGGCCCGTATACAATACTCCCAGATGCCCGAATGACTACCCTTGGCAACCTTGGTTATTTGACCCAACTCGGCTTACTACTCTTTAGACGAAGGGGAATATGACTTCATATTGTCAGCTCTAGTAGACAAATATATACTTCCGTTCCTTTGGCAAGAGAAAAGAGAGGAAAATGGGGCTCCGATGAGAATATAGTATTGTAGTTGGTGAGATCTTTTAATATCGGTGGGCAGAAGGTGAGGCAACCTCGTGAACCATGGAAGGAATGGTTCTTTCCACCGACGGGATGGCCAGCCGAAACGACACGAGGCTGCCAGAAACTCAACTCCTTATTAGGCATCGAGGATAATTCTAAGTCCTCCCAGGCGTGAGGGTGTCTCCAAGACTCGACACCCCGTCCCACTGGACGTCTGCAGAACATCGCATTATCATTGCCTTTAATTTCGGATGCCATGTCTTATGAATAGTGTACTCTCTCGACACAACTACGGAGTAAGAAATTCGCGAGGCATATAGAGAAGGCAGCAAAGCTCTTCCAACTTGAGACTTGACTATCATGTACCAAACTGTCCAAGTGGGTTAGTTGATCTCTGAGAAGGTGTTTCCATTTTCTACGAAGAAGGGAAGTCTTCCTGAGAATCATCCAAACGATAAGTATATGTGCAAACAAAGAACTGAGCTACTGCATTGTTGGTCACGTTACATCACGTGACCACGAAGAACGGAGGATTCTAGAGTCTTCCAGAATCAACAGGGTTCTTTGTCTCTATGGGGGAGTAGTCTTCCAGTTGACCCAGAATTTCATCCCCGAACCGTGTTGTCTTATATTCAAGATAGGGTGCTGAGAAAGGATTATAGAGCAATTTCATCTCACCGTCTAGCGTGGACTTACTACGAGCTACGCATTAAAACGCATTCAAGACCTACCATCCCAAGACTTCGTAAAACCCGAACTTACTGTTTGAGAACTTATTTTATCTGGATAAGTCCTGAACTTGAAGGTAGGCTTATGTTTTTTCCTGCACCAAGTGATCTTGCTCGATCTATAGCTTAAACGGGGCAAGGCCGTTATATGGCAATGCCTTTGGCGTCCTTCTGTCCTCCATTCCGATTCCCACCAAGCCATAATGTGGGAAAGGTTGAAGTCGATGGTAGAAGTTAAGGGACCGCACACAGTACCCCTATGCAGGTTATGTCTACCGTAATTGAGAGATCTGCCCTGCCAGTGCATTAGGCAGACAGCAATGTCTCCCGAGCAAATACGGAAAGAGGATCATCTGAAGTGCCTCATCAAAGGGGGCTTTTTTTTCTGTTTTCAGAGGCGTATCGAGACCTAACAAACTTCATTCTGTTGCCCCCACATCTTGCTTAACATTCCAGAAAAACAGAGAATGGTGGCTAGAAGGCAAATCGTTTCAGCATCCAATTTCGAATTTGGGATGAGGCTTTCGCCGACTTCGCTTCAACCGGGTTCTACGTTGGAAAGATGCTTAGTGGGAACACTGGCAAGCCGCACCCCCCAGAGTCGAAATTTGTCCAGAAGTATCTGAAGGACTAATTCGACATCCGTCAAGGAAATGTAGCCTTCATCGTCACCTCTAATAGCAGATCTCACAAGGAGGAGTCTGGCGATTCATCTACTGTCAACGAAGCCCGCCAGTGGAGGTCAGAACTCTCGCTGCAGACATGCTCGGAAAGTTTGATGCTTTCATGAATCTCAGAGATGATCTGAAGGTCGAGTTCACCATTCGAGCACTAAGTGTATACGCAACTCATCGTACCGGTATCCAATTGATGTTCGAGGACATGAAGGATGTTCATCTGAAGAGCTCCACTGGGCACGCTTGCCAGAGTGTGGAGGATATAGTAACGATGCTCGAGTTCACGAATGCGGAGGCTCTATCCATCTTCGTTGGAGGCGATCCAGGCATGTTGCTTGTGTTGCTCATACGCTGTTCAGCCGGTCTCATCATTGGCATGTCGGAGGATGCATTCAGTTGGCAGACCTATACAAACATCTCTACCGAGCACGAGTTCGTCAAGCGGTATCCGCAATTGTCCGCATAGAAAAAATCAAGTGTGGCCAATGGACTCCGGTTTGCTGCGGGAGTTCCTGAGGCAGCTCTCGTTACCTGCAAGGAATGCCATCAAATCGGACACCGAGCTGGCACCTGCCTAACCAAGCACACTTGCTCAAGATGCGGCGACAAGGAACACAAGCCTTCAGAGTGCAAGTGTCTGGGTTCTGACAGAGCAATGGAACGTCGCCATGTCAAGTGCAAGCGTTGTAATAATTTTGGTCACAAGGCTGAAGGCTGCCCAGGGATGCATTGCTCATAGTGCAAGGGTCCTCACGCCTGGGAGGCCTGTCCAAATGCCAACTGCCCGAACTGCCCGAACTGCCTGGAATTGCCACTGGGTCAATTACATTGGAAGAATAATTGTCCCAAAAAGGAGACCTGCTACAAGTGCAGCGGTAATCACGCTCCGAAATACTGCCAGGTTCCTATCACTCGTGATATGCTGGCTAGAAAGAGAGTTCTGGACGGCGATACTTCAGCAGGCGCTTCATTGACCGTTCCTCCGAGCGTCCCTCAAGATACGACAGTCGAAAAAGGCACGCTGGTTGAAAAAGACGAAGATCTCCAGATGGCCATTCAGCGTAGTCTCATTACTTCCAAGACCGAAGATGATCGGCGTCTTATGCAGGAGCATTACATGGCTTGCGAACCAAAGTTGACATGGGAGGACAAGGACTTTCTCAACAGGTTCCGCGACAGCCTCAGAGAGCAGGTTGAGGAATCCTCTGTCGATAGTGGTGATTTGGCGAAGCTCGATGAAACATTACAGCTCTTCGTGGTCGCTAGAGATGAATACTTCAAGGAGGCCTACGGAGATAAATACATGACTGTTGAGAAACCAGCCGCTCCAACTGTTGATACATCAAGTTACCTGTTGACAAGATCAATGTGAAGCCTTCCGACACCCTGTTAAGTGAAATCGTCAAGGGCTTGTGTATGGGCGAGTTAGTCAAATACGACGAATGGAATGGTTGAGGAGGAGGGGGCCGTAGAAGGCAAGAATTCTCATGCGGCTGAGAAGCCCTCTAATTCTTCAGCCAACTGTGGACCACATCCCGGCCTCCCTCTAGCGGCGCGTACTCGCTGCCACTACCAAGCAGGCAGATCTCGTCGACAACTGCAAAGGACACCTTTTTCGTAATCATATCGGTATCCCCTTGGTATAGCCTTTACCGGACCGCCGCTCCTTGAGGAAAGAACCGGGCACTTTGAGGGAAGCAGACGAGTTAGTAGCTTTCTTGCGGATCCTCTCGAAGAAGATAGTTCATGAGCCACAAGGCCGGATCCTGATAGGCGATTTGTTAGATAATCGAAAAGTACATAGTACGGAGTAGGCTCGTATTACTCCGAGGCTTTGGTCTCCTGGATTAATGGCGAAACATTACGATTTCGCTACCGATAATAGATAAAAGATCCTTATCTATGACCTAGGTAAGGAGAGAGGCGTAATAAAGAAAATCCTTTTTGGCGAAGTCGCAAATATCGTTAGCCTGTAACTAGCCGGCTAGCCGGGCCCTCACTTCCGCTTTACCGATATTTAACTAGAAAGAGTAGCTAATTAGCTAGAAACGAGACGGTCCAAGGTTATGTTAAAATTAAAGCTTTTTGAAGACTAGGCTCGGCTTAAAGTACCATGAGGTACGCTTATCGTAGACTATACAGAGAGGTGTATTGTCGTCCTTTACGATATCCCAAATTTCACGAAGCCGTCCCGTGAGCTATCCTAGTGGGATACTATCGGTATACATATTTAGTCGATTTGTAAGTATAATGATATAAAGCTCGTATAGCCTTAGCTAATTATCGTCCTTAGAAATAGTGGGCTCTAAGTTCCGCTTCTCAATAGTGAAGTCAAAGTCGTTATCTCTTATAATACTCCCCTTAATAGTATATTTCTAATTATCGCTCATTTCATAATTACACTCCCGGATTAGTCCTTTACTAGCGATAGCACTACTACGGATATACCCCAGAAATGGAGTAGGGTT